ACATTTCACTCCCTGTATCATTATGTAATTATATAATTACGTATCACATTGAAATCTATGGGTGTGACGTGACAAACTGTGAAGGTAAAACTAGAGTCCCAGAGTGATAAAGTTTTGCAATCTAGCAAAAAAAAAAAAAAAAAAAGGATTCTTGCACTGCAGCATTCCTAAAATGCACTGACCTAACCTGTTGCACTGATACAAACAATTCAGATGTTGTGGTGTCATGCGAGTCATGGCTAGCTTTTATTTTGAGAAATGGGAACAGAATGACAAATGACATGAGGAAGCAGGTAGGATTCAACACAATGAACTGGAAAACACCAGACGAAAGTAAAGCTGCGAACTGACACCCCTTAGATATTATGTTGACTCTGAAATCCCTCAATCTAACTCTAATTTGGCTTTGTTTTTATCATTTCTAGGCAAAACATCCAAAACCGGTACGCTTCGACGAGTCAGTTAAAAACAAAACTGCTGATAACTTATGAATTGAAGCCCGGGTTTTTGCAAGAAGCAAAACAGACACTTCCCCTTTCAGGACTGACACGTTCACTACTGCTGTAAACATCCACGACAAACTGGTTTCGTGGCCTAGAGAATGACAAATATTTTTCCTGAGAGGCACATGGCGGATGGTTTAGCCAACACAACAGGTTCGACTGCAGCGGCGGTGTGGGAAGCACACGGGCCGACTGTTAGAGCCTTGAAGCAACAATAACGTCTCAGAGGGATGCAAAAAGGAAAGAGCAGAGGGAGCGAGAGAACTGTGGGAAAGTTCAGTGCCCTTGGAGGAGCCTGATAAGGTGATACGGACACCCGCATGTTTGTGTTGTGCAAATTTGTAACGACTGCAAGCCTCTCCGTCCGAAGGGCGATTTGGGTGTGGCAAATGTTATCTGTGTGACTCCAGTTTGTCATGGCAATGTCTTTTGTATATAAGGGTAGTTCTGTAGTTGCCATACACGTTTGTGCAGTAGCTGTTTTTAACACACACAAAGGTTGACCTCACTCCTTTCTTTTCTCCCGGCAATGAGATCTGCTTTGTTCAGCACAAAACACGTAACCCGATCTTGCGCCATGCAAATCGTTTGAAAGATCTTCCTCTCCGCAAAGAGGGATAAAGTTCACCTACGTACACACACTGCAAAAACAGAAGAAAAAAAATCTTAAAATTTTAGTGCACTAAAAATAAGATAAAACTGACATACAAGCAGCTTTGCAGCAAGAATTCAGAGCTTGTTTTAAGTCAGTTATTCCTTTGATTATAATAATTCATCAATTATTCCTTTAATATTGACAAAAAAAATTACTGGCAAATTATCATAAGTAAAATAATCTGCCAGTGGAACAAGACATTTTCCCATATGGAAGAGTATTAAAGCTAATACTTTTTCACCAATATTAAGGAATAACTGACTTAAAACAAGCACCTAATTATTTTTAAATGTTCCTTGTAAGGTAGTTTTGCCTTATTTCAGGATTACTATGATATTCACGTTAGAATCTAGTCCAGAAAAACTTGGTGAGGTTTTCTGTTTTTGCAGTGGAGCATTGCCACACACAATGGGAGGGAGGAGCCAGACAGCCTTGAAGAGGAAACGCTCTCAAACCGACTGACAAGTCTAGCTACACCCAGGGCTGCCCTGGAGGACAGCAACGGGCCCCGCTCCTCCCCCCGGTCTTCAAAACACTTTTATTTGTTCACCGAGAAAAGGAGATCAAATCACGCTTCCTCTATGAGGGCGTGTGCTCTCCATGATGAAATCTCTCCACTCGACAAGGCCAAACCAGAAGTCTGAAGTTCAAGAATGGGATCTCTCACATGACTCTTGCAACATTACCCACTTACTGCACATGACAAACTCAATACAGGCCGCTTTAACTTTTTAGGTGGGATGCATAAATAGTACCTTAAAGGTGGCACTTGTGTGCTTAAATATCGTTTTATTAATCAAATCAACGCAGGTTTTTTATCAATTTACTAACAAATTAAAGTATTCGGTTTCTGCGTTTGTCGCAACTCCACGATGATGGAGTTTCACGCAGTTTTGCATGCTAATGCGTAGTTGTGAGTCGCAAAAACGGTCAAAAACATCGGTTTTAATGACGCTAACTCCCACCTGCAGGTGGCAGTATTTCTTACTTATACGACGCTGTTGCCTGAGCCTCGGTTGACGTCACAGTTATTGTCATACAAAAGCGCAAATATCGCTTCGTTTTTAGCAAGTATTTCTAAATTAGTTCCACAAAACAGTAATTTTGACTGCAAAAGAATCACAAAATCACGAATTCTTGGAGGAAGTGATCTGTTTCAATATTATTTAATTTTAAAAAGTACTTATCAGACGCAGACACAGCTGCTTATTAATATTTTTAACAGGTTCTTAAGGGGTTTTATCAATACATTATGCTACAACTGGCCCTTGGAGAACATTCACGACATTGATATGGCGCAAAATGAAAATGAGTTTGACACCCCTGATTTACAGCGTCAAAAAAAAAGAAAGAAAGAAAGAAAAGAAAAGAAAAAGCGGAAGGAGTCGAGGTGGCTCGTTTGTGGGCGAGCAGGTTGATGCATTCACCGTCTGAACACATTCAGCACATCACCTTTCAGCTCATTAGCTCCCAACATGCAGGAACACGAAACCTTGTCATTCTGCACCTCGCTGCAGGACTCCCTCCTGCAGCAACAAAACAATCTAGAGCTGCGCTCCCATTATGAAACCTCTCACAAGACCAGCGCCTCACAGGAATGCTGTTGTGACACATGCGCGCTGTTGACACAAGGGTTAAACATTGAACAACACACACGCACACGCACACGCACACACAGTTGAGCTGGTAAAAAGGGCGGGAGCTTTAACCGCCCGCCGCACCAGTTTCTGTTTATCTTTCCGCCTTGGCTGGCTGCGTCCTCTGTCATCTCCCAACAGTCGTCAGGTTTATCAAAGAAAAAACGTCCCTGGTCTAACTGCAGCCAGGTGCCGCACAGTGTAATGATTCACGCAGAGGGTTGCCTCGCATGTTCGGGGGATTTGCACAGGTCAACGGGTGCGTGTGTGTGTGTGTGTGTGTGTGTGTGTGTGTGTTGGATGTCATGTGGTGCGGATCTCTGTACTGGTGCTGGTGCGGAGGGTTCAGCAGGAGTTCAGGACAGATTCATTATTCATACTTTACCAAATGAAAGCGCAGCAGAGCCCCTTTCTCTCTCAATTTTTTTTCCTCTGGAAAAATCTAACCGCTTTCATTCTCTTTGTTTAAAATGTAAAAATGTTCAGTATTTGTTTTGCCAAGTGCTGGAAGTGAACTGATGTAATTCCTTACTGGAAGGAGGGGGAAGGGACCTCTTCAGTGTAATGTGTGTTGTCAAAGCTTTGAAAATCCCTGCTTAACAATTCTAGGAAAGCCGGGCCACCTGGAAATCTCATGACTTCCTGAATCTAATTCCAGGCCGAGTTATTGGGCCGTCTGACTGGGAGCTTTCATTGAGCGGTGTAAACACTGAATGTCAGGCATGTTTGCCAGAGCCGGGGCTGAATTAGGCATTAGTCCTCACGTAATGCCCGCAGTGAATTCAAATGCCCCAGCAAAGCCCTGATTATATTTTCTCCCCGTCTAACAGCTTGACTCGGAGAGAAATCTGGCAATGGCTGGACATCTAAACAGGAAAATTCTGTATAGGCATGGATTGGTGCCCAGTTTTAAGGTATACCACAGTTTTAGGCAGTTACACTTTCAAATCCACAAATATTTCCAGTTATCCAATTTTTTGGCCTGAAATTCATGTCAATGAGATGCCAGAGAAAGTACCGAAGTCAGTAGTTTACATAAAGTAAAGCAGGTATACTAGGAATTTACCAACGAGTACATCTAATAGTATTTCTGCAAGAATACGCGAGTATAAGGCTAGTATTTTTGTCAGTACACCAGCTACTATTTCTGTGAGTAGCAGGTACACTCGAGTACACTTACAGCTAGTATTCCTGAGAGAATACCAGCAAGTATTTCTCTGAGAATACATCCATGTATACCTACGAGTACACTAGAGAGTATGTGGGTAGTATTTTTGTCAGTATAACTGCTACTATTTCTGTGAGTACACCAATGAGTAAACCTGACGTATACCAGTGAATATACCTGCTAATATTTCTGCGAGTAAACCAGTGAGTATACCGGCTAGTATTTATGCGAGGATACCTGCAAGTATACTAACAGCTATTCGTGCTACTATTTTGGTGAGTAGCAGGTATACTCGAGTACACCTGTGAGTATACCTTTGAGTATACCACCAGCTATACCTGCTAGTATTTCTGTGAGTACATCTTGTACCTATTTTGAAGGTACAAGCTACTAGCTTGCAGACTGCAGCTAGCTACTGGACTTGTGGCCCTATGAAGATCAGAGCAGCAGATGTTGTTGCATCCTCTAACAACAGAGAAAACAGTTAAATTTTGCTCTTGAGTGAAAGGAATTTGAAAATTATTTACATTTTCGTTTACATTTTTTTTTTTTTTGCTCAAATGGCGTAAAATTTTCACCCAAAGGTTATCAAACATAGAGTTTCATACCAGTCCACACCTAACTCCACACGGTCCGCTTCATGGTTTGTTTGTTTTTTTTCAGGGGCTTTCACTTAATTGAGGTATCACAATAAGATACATTGTTGGTGTTTTGATAAGCTACAACTGCATGCTGACAGAGCAGAAAGGTATGACACCAGCAGGGGAGAATCCAGAACAAAATCCCCTCTCATCTCACAGTGTGCTGTGTTGGCGGAGCGTGACCTCATCCAAAGTTTACACACAACCGCCCCATGCTGCTTTGTTATCTTCAAACCAGCACATTCCAGCCTTCAAACAACAAAAAAAAAATGTCAGCGTGCAGATCCTGCTGTGCTGTGAGAAGCACAAGAAGTGAAAAAAATAACAAATGACTAACTCGCAAAAGTTTCAAAAACTGAAAAACAAACACTAGCCGCCTCTTAAAAAGTACAACGGTTGACGTGTACATGTAGGTCGGTCAGCTGTGGACGGATTGGAGTGCTACATGTCTGCTTACTCAGCAGCCTGCACCAAAGCGCAGCTTGCTTACCATTCTTTTTTTAAAACAGACCGCAGGGTAGTAAATAGCTACGAGGAGGATCACAGCCTTCACAGCTGATTGGTTTGATGCCGGCCTGACACAAACAGGAAGCCGGTCGTGCAAGTCAGAGGAGAGAGCGGACGACGAGGAGAGACAGACAAAGTGCAGAATGCGGTGGCAAAACAAAGAATGTGTGAAGGCTTGCAGGACTTAGATTTGAGAGAGAGACAGAGAGAGAAAAAAAAACTCTGACTTTTTGTTTGCAGAGTGCCGTGTGACTCATGGAGGAATGCAGTGTGTGATTCAGATCTCTGCATCGTCAGCAGGCAGCGTGCACCGAAAAATGGTGATGATGTGTGAAGCAACAGTAGGGCGAGAAGCCGCAAAATGATGCTAACCATAAACTGCAATCATACTGTGATGTTTACCTGCAGTGGTTTTAAAGTGTGTTGCAAGAATATTCATCCCTCTGCAACCATTTCCCATTTTGTCACATTACAACCATGAAATCTAATGTAGCTTAGATAGACCGACACTGGTGGTGCAGTTACAGCTGCGAGTTGTTTGGGTGGGTCTCTGCTAGAAGCTGAAACTTTCAAAATGAATGCAGAATGTCTGTGAACAACAATTTTCATCACTTGGCATAGATTCAAACTTGTATTTAGGTCTGGACTTTGACACTAAAATACACTTTGGTGTAAACCAATCAATTGCAACTGTGGCTGTAGTTTTGTGTCGATGTCCCCGCTGGAAGATTAACCTCGTTAACCTTCAAGCTTTTCTTGAGGACGCTGTGCTCAGGGTGGCCAGAAATGTCATATTTCAACCTGCCTCCTGCCCATAAAAGCAAAATTTGAGGAGTCCATGACAAATACTTATCCTGTTAATCGACTTTCCCATGTGCATCTCCTGCCAAAATTAGCCTCTTTACTGCTTTTCTGATTTAATATTCTACTTCTTGGACGGACTGAACGATGCTTTGAAATATGTTTTTGGATATCATTTTATCACCTAACTGTGCTTTAAACTTTTTTTCTTGGTCTTCATGCAGCCATTTGTTCTCTACTGTTCTCCAGCAAAACTCTGAGGCCTTCAGAGAACAGCTGGGTTTATACTTTTTTTCTCTTTATACTTGATAATTTACGTGCTGCACTGTGTGCAGGCTGTCACATAAAACAGGAATGAAATCCACAGATGCTTTGGTTGTATTCTGACAGAATGTGAAAAAGCTATAGGGGATGAATGTTCTTGCAAGGCCCGACCATAGCTGGGTTCCAGTCTCTAAACATCAAGCGAGTAAATATAACACTGTGAATGACCTCAGGGAACTTGTGACATGCTAGCTGTTAGTTTCGAAAACGAGCCTTCTGCTAACATTTGCGCCTTTTTTTTAGTGTAGGATGTCACCTTTGAATGTGCAGTTTGTGTGAAACTTCCGCTAAAGCGATTTGAATTCCCTTTTTTTTTTGGTCACATTTCAACAGCTTAGAGATTACGTAAGCGCAGCATAAAGTGACTAAAACGATTTCACTTCCTCGTTATTTGCCTGTTTGAGTAAACACGATACATGTTCCCTATTTAACATTTGCCTATAGTAAAGTATGATCTCATAGGAGATAACAGGAGGATTCTCTATCAGGTCGTTAATCATCAAACAGGCGTTATCTCCTCTGTTGGGTAACTGCGGTGCATGTGACGGAGGTGAAGCACAGAGTGGAAATCATGAGTGACATATCAGCTCTGCCACCCAAAGAGCTTTGAGAAAAACAGCCCTCCTCCCTTCCTCTCCTGTCAACCTACTGTTCCCATTGCTTGACTCTGAAGGTCAAATGGAAGAAAAAAAAATAAAGAGAAAGAGAAGTAAAAGCCACTGCCACCTCTGACTGACTGGTTCAAACAGGCCCTGGGAGGAATGGGGGTTTCTGGTGCGTGGGGCGTGGCTTTCTGAGCATGCCCAGTGAGCAGGAATGCCGTGTGATGGCAACACAGCGGGCTCTCCCATCTGCTGATGCACCGCTCACCCTCGGGCCCTTTTCCATCCAGTCTAGTGAGCAGGCAGATCAATTTACTGCGGAATGAACACAAAGTCAGCGGCTGACGCATGCACGCACATATTCACACATTCTTTGTGTTCGTCAATGGCTCCCGCTCTGCTCTACGCCGCACTGCACTGCAGCACCCAAGCAGACATAAAATTTTACTCATGCATGCATAAACCTAGAGGGAGGGAGAGGGAGAGAGAGAGAGAGGCAGAGTCGGCAACAATGAACAGATCCATTATTCAGGGAAACTCTTCTCCACACAAAACTTGCACAAGTGAAGATAAACCCACAACCTTCCTGCTGTCAACTACCTGCAGAATAATGCTGACTCATCTTTACCCAAAAACACAGCCTCATAATGGCGTCTTCAATGTCAAAGCTCAGCGGCAGCCGTCGACATGCGCTTTGTTGTTTTGCAGATCATGTTGCAGGCAAATGCGTGATGCTTATTTGCAAAGGATGTTATTATCTTTCTGGCAACGTGAGACTCGGTGTGCGCAATCAGAATAACTGAAGAGTCTCGTCTTGTACAGCTGAGGATCTGCTGACGAGGCACTCCTGACATCTCTGGGTTAATTTTCCAGTTCGTACCCAATTTTTCTCTTCCTACTTCTGCTTCATACTCATATAGTTAACCACTGTTTCTCAGTTTGTTTTCTTTATGTGGCACAGTCATTTATAGAGCTGAAGAAGAACACAAGGAAGCACGACAAAATCTCTCAAAAGCGCTCGATGGCAGTGCAAAAATTAAATAAACACATAAACTCCCATTATTTATGGAGGTTAGGAATCACAATCATCTTTAAATAGCTTGAAATTTGCCCCATTAAAAACGCTGACAACTGCCCATTTTAATAGTTAGTATTAATATATGGAGCTATAAAGGTGACATGGGATTTTTCTTTTCCTATTGCGCTTATTGCATTCCCTCAAAACAGGTTTTGCGTCCCCTCGCAATAAATTAGCAAATACACCCTGGTAAATTTAACATACAGTCAAAGTGATAACAAATGTCAACTTAAAGTTGCGCACACCTACACCTTTAAAACTCTCAACTGTTTTCAACTTTTTTGTGCAGAAAATGTATCAATTAACTGTCAGATGATAATATTAACCCTAAAATAATTTAAATTATAATTTTGATTTATTTTACTTTTTCTCTTTCCTTCTTTCAGGAAAAACCAGCCATTAGCATGTCGGGTAGCATTTTAGCTAGGTATGTCAACATCCAAAACTTTGTTTTCTTTCGAAGATTTTAGACATGCTCTACAAAAATATCCACTATACTCATTAAAATGAATTGGTAACACTTTCTTTGAAGGGGGTTGAATAAGACTGTCATGACACCATCATAAACATGACATAACACCTGTCATAAACATCAATTTATAACTGTTGTCATAAAGCGTCATTCGGTAAATTATGACACTTTTAATACAAAGTTGACATTATTCAAAATGTCTTTATGACAACTTGACATTAACCAATAAATCATTACTGTTTAAACTTTATCTTTAATAACATAAAGTTACCTAATTTTTAAAGTGCAATCAGTAATACTTTTATAACAAATTTATATCAGTAATGATTTCTTGGTTAATGTCAAGTTGTCGTAACAAAGGCATTTTGAATAATGTCAACTTTGTATTAAAAGTGTCATAATTTACTGAATGACGCTTTATGACAACAGTCATAAATATTCATGAAGGCTTATTCATGTTCATGACATGTGTTTATGACAGTGTCATGTCAGTCTTATTCAACCCCCTTCAAATAAAGTGTTACCAATGAATCTATAATTAATTCAATCACATATTTTCCCACATGTATTTTACAACGTACGCACATCAAACGTGGTTCTGATCCTCATTTGGAGAAGCTGATTTACAGAAGCATAAGAGACTATAATAATTATGCTGTTGGTACAAAATATTCATTTAAATCACTTAAAATCACATTTTTAAAGATAGGTTGAGGGTACATATTGGCCAGTTACTGGTATCAAGGCAACTTTAAAACCACTAAACTGCTGCATCTGCGGTTTAAAGTCCTTTTATTGAAATATCAAACAAGGTTTCAAGAAACCCATTTTCTACACCTAATTGGAACTTAAGGTTTTGATTGTCAAGTTTGATTTTTTGACAAAATCACTTATACTACTAATTACATGCAATCAAACGTCTTTGTGAACGGTTTCTGACCCCAAAGCGATCTGCCTGTGCAAAAGAAAAACATAGACGTCACACAGCAATACAAAGTTTACGGAAGTAATAATGGACGCCGGCGTCCATGGATCAGTTTCGAAGTTGTTGAACAATCAGAGTTGACAAGATTATAATCTATCAATGAAATTCACTGTGTCTATATATAATACAGATTCTTTAGACACTTAGTTATTTTCTATGTCTCTCCAGACACACCTGACATGTTTCAACGGTATGCTTCATGAGAGGCTGATGTTTGATGCTCCAGCTGTGATACCTCTGATGAAAACGGAAATATGCCATCGAAACATGTCAGGTCTGAAGAGACACAGAAAATATCTAAGTGTCTAATAACAAAATAATCTTTAAGACGAGACCAGAACAAGACGAAGGAAGTGTCAGCACATCAGTGAGGACTTTAAGTCGATGATTAAAAATTACTTCAAGTTGTCAAAGCTGGTACAAATATCCCACTTGGCTCAGATGTCAAACTCAACAAAATGACAATAAAGGTACAAAATGGTGACATGACGAGTTCTATGACTTTAAAACGCATTGTGAGGCCACTTCTCAACATTTGTGCAAGCAACCGAAAACCCAGCGACATTTTTTTAAAGTACAAGTGGGAGTACTTGAGTAAAAGCTCTTAAAATGTTAATTTCCCAACCTGAATGCAAAATCAGATGTGCAAGTTGAGGTGTGACTCGGTTGTACCTGCTCTCTCTTACATTATAGGAATAACTGAAGGATTGGGGGATTTAATGTGTTCTTTTATTTGCAGAGTCACGTCTGCGCTTTGTGATATGCTAATAAGCTTCCCTTTAAGTAACTGAGATGTGCTGCTTGAGAAAATCAACCCAGGTTCGATGACGCATCGTCTGTAGGATGATCAAAGAAGCAGCAGAGTTGATGAAAGAGATGTTCTCCAAGGATCCAGCCGTGAGACCGATAGAGAGGAATTTGTGGGAGGAAAGGACACAACGGGTAATTTAATGACGAACAGGAGAACTGATTTAATTTATTTTCCTAATTCCTCTCTCAGTTCTCAATCAAAAACAATTTTTTTTCTACGTCCTTCCAAGATCCGTCCTTCATCCTCCATCTGTAATTTTCTGAGCCTCAAACCGCTACACCTCGCTGTAGCCTCAGAGTCGCAGCCATTTTTGCCACCTCTACTCATCGCTGCCTCTGGCTTGAGGGTTTCTAAATCAGGAGCATCTGACTCACCACCTACTCATGTGTCTCTATGACCTGAGTCCACCCGCTCACATTTGAATGCTTTGCACAACAATCTTCCAACGGTTGATTGGCTGCAGACACAACCAGTGATTGAACACACACAGATTAATTCACACTTTGCCTGTTTTTGTACCTCCATTTGGGTCTCTACATCTTCTAAAAACAGTCAAAGTTCTTAAAAAAAAACCTCACCCAGACATTTTTTGGTGTGGAAAATTAGCTGTTTCAAAAACCTTCCGAATGTAATGCCACAAATCATCTGCCAATCTCCAACGCATTGCCAGATGATCAGCCTGTCACCTAACAACCAAAGAGGAATTTGATCACTTTGGTAAGCTGATTTTACCGCTGCATGTACAATGGCTGCTGGAAAAGACAAGTGTTTTGATGTTCATTTAGAATCCAGAAACCACTTGCTGCATTCTTGGTTGTGTGGGAGGCTCTACTAATGCTTTTCAAAGATGTACGATATATATATATATATATATATATATATATATATATATATTTGGATTTAAAATGACGAAAGGCCCTAAAACTCTTCACTCTCTGAAAGGAGCTCAAAATAGGTAGAACTGACTAGAATGAAATCTTATTAAATACATTTTATACATATGATTTTGTGCAAGAAATGTAATAGACATGTTTTGCATAGCCCATAAACCTAGCCTAGACTATTCAAGGAAGCATATTTAAGCAACATGCTAGCAGCAGACAGCTGCAGTTCAAAGCTGCACGAACAGCTGGCTTTCATTGTCTGCACAGGAACTGACGGACATTTGAAACCAGCAACGGCTGCTATTAAATGTTTGTCTGTCTTTGTCCTCAGATGCCAAACTCATTTCATTCCCGTAATGTTTGGCAATTGCTGAGGCCTGCTTGGAGACCGCATTTCCTTAGATCCTCGCACCGTGCAGAAAATGCTCCCTATTTGCCTCCAGGAGAAGGCAGACATTCAATCCGACCTCCTCAATGTCAGAATGGCGACGGAGATATACTTGGTAACTTGTGTTTTTGCACCCCTCCTTCCACCCTTTCCCAGTGTGAGTGTGTATGCATGTATCTTTCAAGCCCTTCATTTCCCAGAAAAGAGCTGAGGATTTATGAGTGCATGGGCCGCCGCGAGCGACATCTCCAGAGAAGGATGAGTGTTTCCTGCAAACAGTTGGGAGGGGGTGTGTGTGTGTGAGTGTGTGTGGGTGGACAGCTTCCATAGAAACACTATCCAGCAACACTTGAGGAGCGTCATCAAGGGGAGGTGTGCTGTGTGTGAGCACGGAGGAGGCGTGCTTCTGAGAAAAAGCCCACGAGGCCGTGCAGATCTGTGATTGACAGTTGACTCTGCTGATTACTGCCCCTCAGGGACAAACTCCTGACAACAGCTGCTGCTTCAAACTCCCCCTGAACTCTCGCTAACATCAGCCGTCTCACATAACGTCTCTCCAAATATGTCCAAACTTGACTTGTCAGCTTAAGCGTGGCATCCGAATCCCCTTCTTTTACGTCTACCTCTGCCTCTGCAGAAATCCGACACAGGAGGACTTCGGCTGACCTGCTGAACCGACAAGTATCTGCAAAGTATCAGGAGCCAAGGTTGCCAGGTCTGACTGACAGTTTAAAGCCCAAACACAACATAAAACTCACCCAGCTCCAAAGAAAACAGCCCAAACCTCAACCTCTAATGAAACTCATGTTAACAGCATGAGTTTAGTCATAAGCTGACTTTCCATTCACCATATAATTTAGCAAGTTGAAATTACAAAATAAATTTGCTTAATGGAAGCATGGCAATAAGATGAAATGGGTTTTCGGCTGTATCCAAATTAGTGTATTTGCAATTTAAACAAATTTTTTGCATCACACGAGTGATGTGGTCATCAACAACCGGATGTTACTACTGGTGGAAACGACAAAGGCGACAGGAAGTTGCAGGAGGATTATGGCGCAACATATTTTTAAATGACTTATTGTGTGAACAAGCTTATTCCTGTGTTATTTTAACCTAAGTTTCTGATTTAATGGCCACACCGCAATTACGAAATTGTGTTTTTTCAATATTAGCAAAATATCAAAAAAGTTCTGCGCACATTTAAGCGCAAAATGCAGCTATATATAAAGACAGTTTTGGTTGTCCTTTATTTTATTCAATATTGTATTATATTCTCATTAGGATTGACTGAACACAATGAAACTTGAGATTTTTTGTGGAGCCTGGTAATTTTAAATCATGTTGTTGCCCTGGCATTTCTGTTTTATAATATTACTACATAGTGACACTTGAATAACCAATAACTAATCATTGATGATGTCACATTCGCCAGATTCTAGAGATTTCAAAATAAATGAACTAATAAGATAAGCGGTAGCGGTTTCTGATATGGGCAGTAGCCCAGGGTGGCTTTTCATGTGGGGCGGCAGGAGCTTTGTTATTTGCGTTTAGCAATATATATTGTATATTTTTTTAGATTATAATTCTTCTGAAACTAAACTAAAACGTGAGAAAGTAAAACTAATTACTAAAGGCAATGATCTTGTGATGTAGTTTGGACCGAGTTAAATAGCCATTAGCTGGAAGAGGTGTTGTTTTCTCAATGCTATGTTAATCACTTGACAAGTTATGTTACCTTGCTTTTATTACTCTATTGCGTTAGGCTACTTCTTGGAAACAATTTTATAGCCTATTAAATAGGGACGTTGATATGGAAATTTAATGATTGCTGATAATAATACTGGTGTTATATCCAATATTTGCCAATATCATATAGATTGCATATAGTTCCTTGCACTTTCAGCAGTGTAAAAACGACCACAGCTTCTTTATTCTCTGCTTCAGATAAACCTCTGCTGCATCACACTTCCACGTTTGTTAAATGAGATATTAAAATAAATTTTCAGTGTGTCTGCGCTGATGAAATGAAATTTAAATGATGTGTTATGGTCGGTTGAAAAGCAGGAAGGGGGCACTGGATGCAATTTGCCCAGGGCACCAAACAAGCTAGGACTGCCCTTGATAATAAGTGTAATAACATCGCATTTTATTAAAAGATTTCTGCCAAACAATGGCATCTATTTTGGACAAATTTTCCAAAAACCCGCCAAATGTTGTGAAAAGTGGCCGACATTTTAACAACCGTTTAATCTGGCAGTACTGTCCCGAACATTTTCACCCCTTGTCTCCCCTCTTTATCCTCCGCCGCCGCCATTGGGTGGTGCGGACGTGAGGAGGAACAGTGACTTCATGGTGGGGTTGTGTAAGAGCGCGGGGCGAGGCCTGAAAACCGAGCCGTGTGAGACAAACGAAAGTGCTGATGAGCCAAAAAGAGAGCTAGTGTTGCTGGAAGCCTGCAGATATTCCCCCCTTCAACCCAACTCAGCTCAACTCAGCACCCCCTGGGTAGAAGTCAGATGTCAGAGAGGACAGACGAGGCTCGGACTCATTCGAAGCCACGTGGACAGCATGTAGAAGGCCCCGCTTTGGGCTGGCGGGGGGGATCAGGGCATCAGGTTTAAAGGGTGGGGATGGAGGGGATCTATTCCAACGGAGAGAGAAAGGTCGCAGTGTAAGCTGATAAAGGCAGGAGGCAGGGCTTGGGGCCGCTTCCAGGCCAGCCAGTCAGCTGACGCTTGCAGCTGTGTTTGGAACATCAATATGAGCCTTGTTCAGCCTCTTTCCACCCCCCGCCATCACCGCCTCCCTCGCTTGCTCGCTCCTCACTCGGCATCCCCCCTCCTCTTCCCAACACGCCGTTTCCTTTCCTTTTTTTTTCTTTTCCAGCTCTGATTTATGAAAGTAGGGCATGTGCCCATAACTGCTGCATCAAGGCACATGGCTTAGCCTCCAGAGGCACTAAGGCTCTGTTTACATCAGCCCAGACAACTGCACCACATTGCACAATCGCCACAGGCAGCCTGTTATATAAAGTGTGGAGCCACGTTGGCTCTGTTGTTTTTGTTTCTCGTCTCAGGCCTCCTTCTCTACCTATAAGTCCCAAGCTGCACAAATCCAGATGTTCTCAAAAAGGATTTTATGTGATACACCAACTAGTGGCGGGCATTTATCGTATCATTTATCAGTTATCGTGATAATTTTCTTATGAGAAGACTTTTGATTTATTGTCGTCACAATAAATTCTAATTAATTAACCCCATATTGTTGTATTGTTGAGATTGTTATTTTTATTACTTTTCTCCACTGTTCAATAAACGTATTTCAATAAATATCAATAAATATAATTAAATGCAGTTACCGTATGAATTTTAGTGATACAAGTCAAACATTTTATGTGAATAGTGTCCTAAAGAAGCATATTCCAAATGTTTATCAAGAGTTTTTGTGAGATTATAATTTCTGTGTAATGCAGTCATAGCCATCAAGTTACCTGAAAAAGATGTAATAGTACCACAAAATATTATGATAAAACTTTAAGCAATGCATAACTGGAACCTGAAAGGGAATTTTTTCCAATAAATATCTAAAAAATGGGTGCACTGCATTTGCATTCAACACAAATTTTGCTCTATTTTTGGCATTAAGTTTTCTACAAGCCAAGTTGGGAGAAAAAATGTATTCAGATGTGGTAAATTTTTTAAGTTTCAACCTATGTGTTCAAAGTTATCACAGTGGTGTCACATGGTGGTGGCAGTGTCATGATCTGAGGATGCATTTCTTCACTAGAGATTCGAAAGTTCATCAAAGTTAATGGGTAGATAGATGGAGTGAAATACAGAGCAATACTGTAGGAAAAAAGCATAAAATATTTTCAAAATAATTAAAAGTTTACGTGTGATTTTATTCACTTACTAAGGACGAAGGTTTATTGTTGACAAGTAGCAAAGCAGGAGCGTATCCTAACAAAGAGAAAAAGCAAACCCTGAATTTTACTGTACTGAGTGCTAGAGAAGTGTGTGTTTGCTCAGAGATGACAATTAGTCCCAAATGAAGCACTGAGGAGATTCAAGTTTGGTTTCCATGGCGACGAGTCAGCCTGCTCAGTCGAGGACAGACAAAAAAAAAAAAAAAAGTGTTTTCCTAACGAGCAGGCCTGAGACAAAAACAGATATGTCCAAAATAACGTAAGTGGAGATGGGACGATGAGGATAAAATCTGAGGCTGGTGGTTGATTTATAATCTGGCCGAGTGGATTGATGCTTGAACCACTTTGTTTTCCATCGTGTATCATAAAAACAAGGCCTTAATGAGCATAGCCTGTCTCTGGAAAGATATTAATGGAAGTTAGAAAAACATGACCAGCTGCTGGCATCACAAACCATTAAACATTCAAATCACCGCCTCGGTTTCTGTAAGGCTTCACAGTATTCATGTCTGTGAGACACTGACTCATCAGTCATGGAGTTTCACTTCAGAAATGTGGAATAAAAGGATGAACCAATGTCTCCGCCTTCAAGAAATAGTCCAGAATTTTTTAAAATGAGGTAATGTTGAGAGATTATATGCATTTAATATCCTACCTGTAGTAGTTAACTATTTTGGTCTGTTATTTTGTCTAAATTCAGATTAATTGAACCAGATCTGACTTCTAAGGTTAAAACAACTCTAACAAACGTTGTGGTTCATTCAAATACTATTTAAAGCTGAATTAAATTAAAAATTGGGCAGTTTCATACAAAAAAAAAGATTAACTACTCGGGAAATAGAGGTTGGAGGTGTACACGCCACTAAATGTCTTCCTATGTGAAACACAGACTGGGATAACTATTCTGTTTAAATGTACAGTAGCGTAAAAATCAATAAAATAGCATCACTTAAACTGTTTTTTTTTTTTGTTTTTTTTTTGCATTTTAAAATCAGACCAGCATAGACTAGTTTGTCCTAGAGGCTAACGTTAACAGCTAGCGCTAGTTGGGTCATGACCAAACAGACTTCTACTGTAGGTGAATGTTAACTTGTTTTCCACGTTGTAACTGCTGGTGTTTATTTACACAGGAAATGAAGGTGCAGTGTCTCTGACCGCCATTTCCTGTGTAAAATTTATTGGCTGCAAATGTGACAATGGTCAATGTCTGTGATTGTCACGGTCTGCTTTGGTTTTGATCCCACTCGGACAAGCTGTTAGCGTTAGCCTCCACAACCTGCTAATCTGGATTGATTTGGTTGAAAAAAAAAGTTTATTGCAGCAGTTTAAATAAATAGTATTTTTTACTTTCTATGAGGCAGGCATTCTGACAAGAAATTGTTTTATTCTCTGCTCATGTTGTACAGCACCTCCTACCTCCATTTCCTGTGTACGTGGCCATTGGCTAACCCCAGTAAAAAAAATAAAAAAAATAAAAATAGCATTTGCAGAAACTGCTTAGACATTTTTCAGATTTTATTTGTTAGAATATTACACTTTGCAACAACTGATCTGAATTTGGGCTAGAGCTGCCAAGACAGTTATGTAGTGTGGGCAAGAAATCAACTAACCTCGCTAACTAACAGAACCTCGCTTCAAAAATCCCAAACTATCCCCTTCAGAGGCCAAAGAACTGTGTGATCGTGAAACTAGCTTTGGACTTTTTGTTTTTGTGCCTTTCTCAAACTCCAAAGCTGCTTTGTATCAGTATTCCCTGGCAGTAAAAGACGCAAACAGTCTCTTTAAAAAAAAAAAAAAAAAACTCAACCTAAGTAAGAGTTGTTTTTCACAACCCTCAGAGATGTTTCGCCTCTTATGCTTCCAGTCTTTGTTGCTAGCTGCCTCCTTTGTAGACCTCCCTCATCCCCTCCACCCACTCTCTCCCTCGCTATCATAACTCAGCTGTTACTTGGCAACTGGTCCCAGCTGGACCCAGCATCAGCCGCGTTGCCACGGCAACAGAACGCACACATGCAGACACGGTAAACGTGTTTTTTTTGTTGTTGTTGTTTTGTTTTGTCCCCCCCCACACACACACACACACTTCCACCACCTTCCTTTTTTCAAAGCACAGCGGCTCAACATGCAAAATAAAAAACCTACATGTGTATTCAGCTCAGAGCAGAGGCATCCATCAAAGTGCGAGCGCTCAGATTAATCAAAGCAGGAATGATTACCAGCATGATCTCATGCACCTGCAACATCTTGACATCTGTGTTTCAGGGTGAAATCAGAAAGAATGATGTCATGTGTTGCTGATCCTACGGAGGTATTGCGCTACACGCGGAGGAGAGCCATCTGGCTGCATTAATCCACCCCGTAATCATTTCTTGTTTTTGCATTTAAAAGAAGAAGAAGAAAAAAAAATCACTCTGCTTTCGATCATCGCTGTACATTTATTGCCAAGTTCGACACATCGCGCCAACTGCGTGTCTCTAGGAAGTAAAGCCCTCCTCGCCACGGTCTGGTTAACACTGCCTCCGTCGTCATGGCAACCCGATCCATCATCTTCAGGGGGATCAATTGATTCATTATTGAGTGAGGCGCAGCCCCCTGCTCTGCTTCCCGTTCACGTCTACTCA